ATAGCATCCTAAATTATAATTATGACATTCTAAAATAATTTGAGTAGCATATATAAATAATCCTATACTTTTAGAGAAGTGTTATTTTATCTTATTGCTATTATATTTTTCTTGTTTATTAAACTTACTTTTAGTATTACTGAAATTATTAAAATTATTAATATTAATATTATTATTATCATTATAATAAAAGTTTTCATTTAGTTGTAGTTATAATGATAAGATACTATAATCTTTTTGAATATACTTTTATATATTTAAAGAATTTAAAATTAAATTACCAGCATTTGTAAAAATTATTACATTACTTAATCTTATATAACAGAATATACTTAAACTTAAATTTTTCATATATAATTAAGGTTACTTGTCTATAGTTTTGATAAAGTTTTAATAGTTTAAGTATTTATAATAAGTTTTGTTAGATTTTGCTTTTTTTCAGAATTTCACCTACTTTTTAATAAGACTTTTATATAGTTTTGATAAAATTTTACTATTTTGGCATTTTATCAATTTGCTAAAATCCTCTAGTTTCTTTAGCAATCTTATATATAATTGTTTAAATTTTACACAAATAGAAATTAAAATTATGATATTCTTATTAATCAGCTCTAGTTTATCTTAGTTTCATATTATTTATATTTTAAATAAAAAAGTAAGATTATATAAAAAAAGATACTATGTTTAAAAAAAAATTTGTATTTGAAAAAAAAATAAAGAAAAAAGTAATAAAGAAAAAAAATTATAAGAAATTCTAATCATCAAATATAAATTTATTTATAATTAAATTGATTAAATGATTGTTTATTAAATTGCATATAATTTTATATTATTTAGTTATTAATTAAAAAAAAGAAATTATTTTAATTTTTTTTTTATTCAAATAATTAAAAAGAGAATTATAAAAAATACAAAATACTCTATAATTAAAAAAGTTTCTACTAGTTATTTTATCAGAATCTCGCTTACTTATAAGATAAGTTACCTTTAGATTTAAGGTAAAAATTATATATAAAATTCTTTGCAGATCCTACTATAAAGGAAATTTTATATTACATTATTATGATTTTTTTTTTAGTTAATTAATCAATAGAATTTAAGAAAAAAATAAAGTAAAAATCATTAGTAATTGGCCAATTTTCTACATTGACCTTTATTATAAGTAAGCAGAATTTTATTTTATTTTTTAATATTAAAATTAAAACTACTTTAACTATATTAACTTTTGCAATTCAGAAATACCTTTTGTATTATTGACAATCGATTTTGAGTTCAAAAGGAAGTCAAAAAAGAGGATTTAAAGAAAAATATTATGCCAAATATTACAAATATAATAAAAAAATAAATTAGTTGTTATAATAATATAACAAATACAATAAAAAATTATTTATTTATAGCAAAAAAAAATCTAAATGAACTAAATAATAATATATTAAATTTTTTAAATTAACTAAATAAATATGTAAAACTTTAAAAAAAAAAAANATTCCAGAAAGATATTAGTGAAAGTAATTGTTAATTGATATACGTGCATATCACTTTTTGTATAATTTTTTTTTTTTTCCGCAGCGCATTTGCAGTTTTATTAAAGTAAAAAAATAAAGAAAATATATACAAAGTAAAATTCCCTAATAACTACTCTAATATAATTAAACTACAAACCACTCGTCATACCAGTAGTACCCCACGTGTGCACTGTCGAGTGATCGTTTGACTCCGTAGGTAGACTTCGTTTAGTAATGGGTCATCTTAGCCATAAAGGCCCTATCTTCAATGTCTGGTGATCACGGGACCCATTGGTAGATGATTCAAATTATTATATAATATTTATTAATAAAATAAAAATAACAGATAGTGATAATAATGCAAATAATATTAGTATGATCCAATAGTTATCTTCTATTATAAATAAGGTTATTAGAGAAACTAAATGGTTTTAGCAAATTGTAAAATATCAAAATAGCAAAACTTTATTAAAACTATATAAAAGTTTTATTAAAAAATTGGTAAAACTTTGAAGAAAAATAAAATCTAATTAAATTTATTATAAATGTTAAAATTGCTAAAACCTTGCTAAAATTATAATAAAACTATAGTAAGATTTTAGGGAAACTAATTATAGGATTTTGAAAAGGTTTAGGCAAGTAATCTTAATCATAAAAAATTAAAATTCAGCATATAAGATATTATTTACTTCTAATGATTTAATACCAGTATTATAAATTCAAAAAATTTTTATATATGTAAAATGTATATATGGGGACTGATCTAGCAAAACAAGGGATTTGGTCTCAAAAAAAAAATTTTTTGTTTATATGATAATTATATGTCAATTTCACTAAAAATTACAATTATAATAAAATCTCAAAAAAAATTTTTTTGGTCCCAACCCCTTGTTTTGCTAGACAGGTCCCCATATATTATTAATAAAATTCACATATATAAGTAAATATAACCTACTAATTTTATATATATTTTATATATTAGATTAAAATAATAATAAGCATTATTAAAAAAAATGCTGCCTAATATTTACAATGAAATATATGGGAAATAAAAGTATTGTATATTACACCTAGTCATCTAGTGTGCAAATTTAATTTACATTACTGTTTATTACTATTATTTGCTATATTTTTTAAAGTTTAAGCATATTTGCAGAATTTGTAAAAAAACTGATAAATACTGAAATTTAATTTTAAATTAAAAAAAAATTGTGAAATTATTTTTGAATAAGAAAGTTTATAAAATTGTAAATGCTAAATAGAAATTATAAAATTAATTTGTTTTACAAATTTTAAAATACTTTTAATGTTACTAGTTAATCCATTCTTTTCAAAAAAAATTAGTAAATTTATGATGCTTTTTATTTTATATATTTTACTTTATTTTACTTTTGTAAGTGATGATATTTTATAAATAAGCAAGATTATATATATCATTATAACAAATAATAAAAAAATTTAATGTTTAATTATATAATTAAAATAAAAATTTTATAATTTTAATAGGGTATTGCTAAATATCACCAGTAGTAATGGTTACCAGTGGTGGATTTATGATGTAATGCCAGTCAGTATTTTATTAAATTTTAATTCAGACCAAAAGTGCATCTTAATGCTAGTATAGTGATAATCACCGCTGATGAGCTTTAGCAATTTTTATTTTAATATATTAATACTAAAAATCTATTTTATATAAAGAAAATTAATTCATTCCAAAAATATTTATATAATAATTATATTTTTAAAATTATATTAAAATATTGATTTTTATAATTTATTTATTATAAATAATAAATAACAATTGGAATATATTTTTTTTTACACCTGCAATATGTCGCATCTTCCTTTTTTTAGTAATTTTTATATATTAATTATGTCAATCATTTTGATCACGTGACTTCATTAAGATTTCCCATTTTTTTAAAAAATCCTGGCGTGAGACAGCATAGCGGACATGCTTATATCACCTTGCCGATCATTTGCCGATCACATAATTCCGGATTTTAAAAACTTGTTGAAAAGCCATAAATAATTTTAAAATAATATGGCAAAAAAATAATGGAAATCCAAGATAAGTACTAAATTATTATATAATTTTAATTATGTAATTATTAGTATAATTTTTTATATTACAATAACACATTTTTCGTATGTGATAATTCAGTCATTTTTGCGGATCATCAAACAAAAATTGATGGATGAAGGTGAATATGCATGGGCGAAACTTGAAACTTTGCACAAATATTCTTTATCTTATATATAATATATAGTAAAAATAAAACAGTGATACGATCTATTAAACAGATTTTTTATTAGTAAGGTATTTAACAAATAATTTTGCAAAATGAATAAATAAATATCAAATAAATCAGTGTCACAAAATTAAGTAAATACCATGAAATTACATAAATTAATGTCACAAAATTAAGTAAATTGATGCCATGAAACTAAATAAATCACAAAATTTAATAAATAATACCATAAAACATATGCTACTAACTAATTATTTTTATTAAAATTTAAAACAATAATAAAAGTTAAAAAGTTGCTACTAATAAAAGTCACTCAATAACAATCCAATTCAAACAAAATTTAATATGCAACAAATGATTATAACCAAACTTAAGTTTTTTGTAAATTTTGAGCATATATTATTATGTAAAATTTTTAATAACGGCATTTATTATGATATAATTGAATAAATGATCGATAAATGATTGGCAAATGATCAGCAAAATTGTGATAAAATAGGGATGTCCGCTATGCTGCGTGAGACCTTATGCACTTACTATATACTATAAGAAACCTTATACTATACATATTTTTGACTACTCTACAAGTTTTCTTAACTAAATATCAAAGGAAATTTAGATTGTCATTTTTAACTTTTATATGTAATATATTATAGGATGTGACATAACACAGGTGTGATAAAAAACAAAATCCATAACAATTATTTATAAATCATAATAAATAATTAATATTACAAAATAATTTATTATTTAAATATTATTTTACATCTTAATTTTATTTAAATACTATAATTAGTATTTTCTTAGTATACTATTTGTTTTTTGTATGTGTATTAGACTATTAGTATATATATATATATTATTATGTTTAATTAATTATTTTCACTTATTATAATAATCTTATTATCATTACTATTATTTATATGAGATTCTAAATGAACATCACTATTATTATTACTTTTAAGTAGTATATTATTATTATCATTATTATCATCACTAATATTAATGTTAGTTTTTACAATAAAACCTTCATTTATTATAAATTGGACTACATTACCAACTCCTCCAAATGAACGTCCTATTAAAAAGAAAAAAATAATTATGTCAGTTTTTAGATTTTTACAATCATTTTTTTTTTTATAAATTTTTGTTACATGATTTTCTCAAATTATTAATAATTATAAGATTTACTTTGGTCAATATTATTTTAATTCATGAATTGCTTACCTATAGTTCCCATGATATAAACCCAGGGTTCTTCATTCTAAAAAAAAAAAAAAAAATTTTTAAAAAAAATAAATAAAATAAAAATAAATTATTATAATTTATTAAAATAAGTTACCTTTACAAGTCTGGCACCTTGAGAAATTAACATAGGAATCCATTGTAACATAAACATAGCTGTATAACTTAAAATTTTTTTTGCAGCTCTTCTTTCAATTTCAGTATGGTTGTCTATTACAGCACTTCTAACATTATTATCATTATTATGATTACTTGATGATGATGTTGAAGAATCATTTATGTGAATACGAATTTTTCTTAATATACTTAAGTAACAGAATAAAATTACTATTAATACAATTCCTATAGTTGAAAATAATATTATTGCAGAGTTAATTTGACCTGATTTTGCAGCACACCTAATATAAAAAAAAAATGAAATATTTTAATAAGAATAAACAATGATTAATGTATAAATTATAAAACATGAGAACTTACCAATAGTCACGTTTACCATTATTTTGTAAATTCAATACTTGAAGTGCGGCACTTCCTGTAAGTACATATACCCAAAGTTTATAATCATATTTACCATAATGAAAATATATTTCACGACAAACTCGAAGATAGGTTATTACACTATAAAAAATTTTCATGAAAAAAAATTGAAATAAAAACAACTAATAAATCAAATTTACTTAATAATAATACTTACGCTATTACAGCATAAAAACATAAATTGATTGTAAGAAAAGCCCAATTAAGCGCACCAATTACTTTACAGGGTGCATCATCCCATACTCGTGCATATATAGCGGTATGTATCTATTTAAAAAAGATCGTAATAAAAAAATCAGAGAAAAATTCCAATAAGTTTAGTTTAGAACGTACGTAAAAACTTACCATATTTGTAAAAAAATTAAAATTTATTAAAAAATCTATAATAATAATAATAATAATTAATACAAGAAATAATTTGTAATATCAGAATAAATCCAAGTTTTACCTGAACATGCGGAATAAAATGGTAATCTATAGATCATTGCTAATCTTTTTTTACTTAATAACCACTGTTTATAAATTCTATAAAAAACATAAATACATCCAAACCATCCTAATATAATCAATGTCAGTGAAAAACCTACTATTAAATGAAAATTTTTTATATTTTCTGGAGTATCTAATCGGTCACCATCCGCCTCAACATTGATGAATAATAATGGAAGGATTAACAAAAAAGGAAAATTCATAGAAAACTTATCCAGAATCATAGTAAAGTAAAAAGAATGTAATAAATAAATGAATACGGATAAGAAATGTAATAATATATGTAAAAGGTGTAAGAACAAATTGGAATAAAAATGTAATAATATGTGAAGGTATGTTCTTAAGAATAAGATTGAAGGAATTCAAGAATTCATATTTTATTTATTAAATATCAAAGTTGAAAAAAAAAACTTGTAAAACGTTGTATTGCATATTATTAAAAAATTGAAACTGTTAGTAAAATATGACTATATTAAAATAAGATCTTTTTTTTTTATCAAAATCTGATAAGATCTAATTAAAATTTAATAATATCAAATTAGTAAATTATTTATGTCACAATGCATAGAGCAATATTTATTTATTAAAACGCAATCCTTTTATATTTATGCAGTAATATTTGTTTGTTATAACTAATGAGGAAATGAAAAAGTCCAGGTCATTAATTAAAATTCGTTATATATAATAAAAATTACCATGGTCTTTTCATACGTCGAATTTCTATTGTACTTAATGTAAGTATATAAGTATAATAGTTTTAGTATCTAACGTAATTCTCCTGATTTTAAAAGCAATGTCCAAGGATAATATGTCAAGTAAATGTGTTTAATGTGATACAGCCTATCAAAAAATAATGTCCGATATTCCCGACAGTTTCGGTTACAACCGATCATAGACTACCGTTTTCGGAACTGACAAAATCACGAAAGTTAAACAATCAATCTTTCTCCCATTACAATAGTAAATCTATTAACTACCTAAAAATTAATATTATTTGACAAAAACATATCAATCTACGAACTTTATTAAATCTAACGTTTCATTTGTTAACATAATGAATAATGAATTAAATGAATTAAAATGGAAAATTGGCTCTAGATTCAATTCTAAAATGAACGTCTTTACATAATACGGTATATCAATTTTGTTGCACAATGACAAAACCCTGCATTTGTAATCCTTAAGGCGTTATGTAACAAATATTGAAACACGCAGATCTTGTCATATTAATTTTAAAGTTTAAATTTATGCGTTGTGAAAATCCTCTAGTTTAAATTTACACTCGTAATGTAATAATGTACGTGGGAATATTAAAGAAGGTTAAAGAAGGTGTAAGTGTATATCTTGTTCGGAATCAATTAACAATTCCCAAGTTCTTTTTGTTAATGTCTGATAACTGTGAAATAAATTTCTTTATAAATCTGTAAATTTAAATGCGGAAATTTCATGAATTATTCTAATAATTTGGAATTTACATGAAATCGATTGTTACAAAACTCTCCTGCAAACTATGATGTGATATTTTGGGAGATAAAAGGTAAATACTATAGTATAAATTCGGTCAAAATTAATAAGGAAAAATACATTATGAAGTGTAAATGTATTGTATATATTGTAAAGTATGCATATTTTTAGAAGTAACAAATAAATAATAACCATATGGGTGCGTTCGCAAATTTAATTGGATAAAAATTGATTGTATTTGGTTCGGTATTACTACACTGTATTACATCATCTACAGTATCTACAGTTGTGAACACGGTTTGATCCGACCCAATCCAAGATAGGATTGACAATTCAAATTCAATTACCCTTTATGAACTAAATGAGGTAATTATAGCATATTACTTTTGTTGTCCAAATTACTAATAGTATTACAAGGAACGCTACGAATTGTTAGAGATTTATAATATACGTAAAATTTAATCTTACAGAATTTTTAGTCGCCTTATATAATTTGCAGTATTAGTTTTAATTGAAATCGTGGAAACAAGCCAAAACAAAAAAAAAAAATTTTTTATTCAATATAAATTCAAAATATGTGTGTGTTACAAGATAATCTTGGCTATATTCCACTTAAAACAATTAGCTCATCATCAGGGTTGGGAATAGTATCATATTTCTGTCAAGTTTTTTATATTTTTGTTAGTAACTTGTATCATAATAACATTCCCATTTTATTATAGTTTAAATTACTAAATAAAACGATCTATACATGGGGGGAATTAAGCGTGACTTTAGAAATTAGAAAAAAAAAATTCCAAAACGCGTATCACGGATATCCTAGCTTATTACGCGTATTTTAATAACTTTGATATGATAGGTCGGACTCGAAACCCGCCGTGGATTCCCATATAAAAATTTCACAAATAAATTGAAAATTTACAGTATATAATTTATTGAATTGATTAATAATTTATATGATACTACAAAATATAGATACTACCAATACTTCAGATACTGCAGATTACAGCATATATAATATATTACATCATTTTTCTATTAAAATCAATTTCCCAATTCCTATTTTGATCTTGTCGGATAATGAATCAAATTCTCTAGTTTTTTGAAATTCATTATAACTTTTAACACCTGATGGTAATGAAGGAACTAAATTTCTATCTATGTAAACATTAATAGGTTGTGATAACTCCCTTTTCCTAAAAGTCAATTCTTCCTTTAGCAATCCATTAATTGATAATCTAACACTTTCTTTAACGTTATCGTCTAATGAATGGAATGATACCGATTTTTCGTATTTTAAAAGATCTTCGATAGTAAAATCACTTCTTAAATATTTAAAAGTATTATCTTTATATTTCTTAGGTTTGTTCTTATGTTTATTGACATATTGGCAAATTTCTCTGTGAACTTGTTTATTTGATCTTTTTTTATTCTTTGATTTATCAGATTGTTGAGATGTTGAAGATCCGCCAATAGAATTTTCTTTTTCGTTATGTTCTTTTTCATTCATAATCAAAGAACTATTTTCCCTATTATTTTGCGTTGGTGTAGTTTTAAGTAATGATCGACTTTTTTTTTTGAAAGTATCAAATTCTTGTTTAAATTTTTCAATATCTTGATCTCTAACGATAGAATCGGATTTCAATTCTTCTATACGAGCATCCAAACTTTTAATTTCTTTTGATTGAGAAATAAACGTTTCTTCAAGATTCTTACGAAAATCTTCCACATCAATAACATTATTGGAATCAATAGATTCTGTTTCTACTTTAATATTCTTATTTAGATTATTAAAACAATCGTCAAAAAGATTTTTCAAAAGTAAATTAATTTGTTTTCTAAATTCTCCAAATTTTTTTACATGTTGCTCGTATAAATTATAAATTTTATTATTTATTGTATCATTCGAAGTATTCGAAGTATCATCATTTACATTTATTACTGTCTCAGTTTGAATAACATCCTTATTTTGAATAGAAGGTGTTGCGGAAGGTTCAATTTCTTGCGTTTCCATTATTATTTATTTATTTTAAAATAGAAAAAAAAAAAAGAGAGATTTTTACAATCCGTTCAATTACACAGTTTATTTATACGTAAAATGTTATATTGTAGATCAAAGCTTCCCAATTCTATATAAGGATTTATTAAACTTGTGAATGTTGGTTTTTCTGGATAATTTTTAGCCGCTGATCATATGAATTCCAAAAAAAAACCAGAATATGTGTAAAAGTACTATTAGCTTTTGTTAAATGTTTTTTTTTTTTTTTCATATGAATATAACAACGTTTATTTATTGTTATTTATTTTGCTTTTGTTGATATATTTAGACGTTTTTGTTATCATTTTATATATTATATTGTACATGTTATTCATTTTTTTATGTAATATAAAAACATCAGAAATGATTGCCTGATGAATATTCATGATGTCATTCAGTAATTGTAAATTCAGTTCTTCATCAGACCAATCAAATCTGATTTTATGCTGCGCTCGCGTATTATTACCTGATTATTATTATTAGAATGTTATTATTTGTTTCATTAAATCTTTTTGTTAATAAGGTCGGACAAAATGACACGGAGCAGGATTTGTATTATTTATTTCATGGGGAGTTGGAAATAATAGGGTTTTTTTCCCGAAGGGAAAAAAGCCCTATTGTTTTCCTTCCCAAGAAATAAATGGGTAATCCCCTGGAGCGTGTCACTCATTAAATATTAACTATTTTAACTATTTTAAACTAAAATTAGTAATTTCCCGGCTATCTATATGAGACCGGGAAATAACTAAACGAAGATTCCCGGTCATTTATAAACTCAGCTAATCACTCGCAATTTTCAAAAATTAGTATGAAGGTGATCATGAGTGACACTTTAATAGTGCGATAGGGGATTATATTTTTAATATTTATTATATGTACAGTAATTTAAATCTTCTGAATATCATAGTAATATAATGATCGAGATGGATAAACAATTATGTAATGTTGATATAAATATCTATTATTGTTCAATCGATTAGGTTTTTTAATGACCGAACAATAACTCAGTTATTGGACGATCTTCGAGACTTCGAATCTTCGGTTCCACCATTAAACATGTTGAAATTGGTACTAATTCTATTAGTCACCGCACGTCATAGTAGAGTAAGACCCGGATCTTAAACATGATTGGTTCAAAAATAATCTTCATCAAAGCCAGACAGCCACACATTTCGTGTAACATGTCTTAGAAAAATATTGGGCTTCTTTTTCGCTCGTCAAAAAATTTTTTACGACTTTACCTTTAAGCTGAATTATGATGTACTTTTGTATATATTAATAATATAGACAATTTAAGATTTTAATAAACTATAATAAAATTTTTATCATTATATAACAAAACTTTATTATGTAATAGTTATTTGAATTAATGCCAAAATCAAATGACGGTTCTATTAGATGTTATTAAATGCTATATTGTATATTACTAACACTGAAATCTTTTATTAAAAGAACGCGTTCTAGTGTTATTAAAAAAAATTCATTTCACAAATTAATATACAAACCTCTCTGAATAACTTTTAAGGATTTTTACTTATTTTCTTTAAGCGTATTAAGAATTAAGAGTATCTAAAATTTTACTTTAATTTTAAAGCGCCTCTTTTAACTTCCTTTATAAAGTCATAAAAGGTTTGGTGAAACCAAGCTAAAACTGTCAATTTTATCAACCTTAATATAGAATAGTTTGTACGACTCCGCTTACCCTAATCACAAAATGACATTTCTAGACTGAACATAAATGCCAAGAGAAATAAATTTTTAGATTCTTAAAAAAAACCTTTATATATATATATATTAGTTACCTCGGCAAACGGACCAAAATTGTTTCTTTTTTACACAGGAAACTTTTTTTATGCAAAAATTTATACTGTATATGCTATGAAGAATTTTCGAAAACTTGATACGGCGAAATTATGAAAAATTGAAAATTCCTTGGCTCTTCCTTGGCTCGGCCGTAAATTTATAAAAAAATATAATATTATAAAATGTATACCTTTGTACTCTTATATTTTTAGAATGCCTTTGTACTCTCATTGTTCTCGGATATCGGGAATAGCCGGCCCGTTAATTGATTCACGTGAGTTTTTTCGGGGAATTTTGTTTAAAAAGAAGTTAAAATAAGTCTGTGTTACGTAGGTTAAAATAAAGGATGGAAACACAAAGAATGTTACAATGTTGCTCGTTAAAAGCACATCTCTTTTATTCACATCATAACTGGTTATCAAAAATGATAATATGATGAACCCCTTGTTTCGATTGTTTGTTTATGACATATGTATAACGTGATATATGCATATTTGCATGATTTTTTTCTGTTGCACATGATTCACTCAGTTTTTTCGTGCGCGAAAAGTGACGCAAATTATGTATGGAAATTTCCCCCAAACAATGAAATTATTTTTACATATTAAACATTTAATATAAAACAATATAACGGTACCATATATTAGGTATATGAGTTGAATTATTTATTATTTATTATTATTCAAATTTAGTTCATGATTGATTGACGTTAATGGTTTTTAAGGCGTATATATATAATATATATATAAGTAATATTAACAGTTAACCCTTATTAAGCGTTAATACATTTCTGGTAAAATATTATCCAATCAGAATATTACCTGATGATCATTACCATGCATATTCAGTAACGCCCGAAAAAAAAAAACGCCCCATATTTACTTAAATAAGCATAAATATTATATAACTGTATGATATAATATAAAAATCCCTTTCTCGGCGTCTCAGATTTTTTTTTTTTCTTGAAGAAAAAAAAAAAAAAAAAAAAAAAAAACCAAAAACAAAACAAAATTAAAAACAGAATTAAATATATTAAAATATAATTAAAATATAATAATTGAAATAATCTCAAATTGAAAAAAAAATGAATTCTACTAAAACTTTTGAAGAAACAAAACAAAATATAGAAAACCAAGATCCTTTAACACATATTTTAGAAAAACAAGCAAAAGAAATTGAAGATTTTAGTAAACGGATGAGTTTAGAATTTCAAACATCATATCAAGAATATATTAAAAAACAAAATGAACAAAAATTATATCCTGAAATTGAAACTTGTCAATGTAAAGAAAAGGAGAATATAATTCAATCATTAAAATCACGTATTGAAGAATTAGAAAAAGAATCTTATAATAAAAATCAAGATATTAAAAATCTTCAAAAAAATGTTCAATCACTCTTTAATATTATTGTAAAGAAAGGTATAGCAAATGTTGAAGAAATTGATATTACTATGCCAACTAAAATTACCATTACAACAGAAATTGGGGAAGAAATTTATGATAATGAAAGTACCAAACAAGTTAATATAGAATTAAAAGATCATAAAATAGAAATTGAAAAAGATAGATTATCAATTGAAAATGTTCATTATTATGATGACATTAAAGATAGTTATTCAGATTCTGCTATAGATTTATTTACTGATGATGATTCATCAACTACTGGAGATTCAATTAAAACGGATAATTATGAAGATTCTAATTTTGGTAATAGTAAATATGATCGACCTTCAGAATGGCTTGACGTTTCTTCTACATTGAAACAACGTTATAAAATTGATAAAAAGAATTTGGATCGGTGGAATTCTAAAATGGCAAATAACGGATTATTACCGATTAAATTAGTTGGAAAAGTTGATGAAGAAAAAGAAAAAAAGATTCAAACTCATAGGAAAAGACATAGTACATCTGCTATTTGGTTAAAAACTTATGAAAGTAAACAGAAACAAAAGAATCAAGATGAAAAGTTTAGAATTTCTTCTTTTAATTTTACTAAATATGCTTTCAATACTACTACTGATGATAGTAAATCAAAACAAAAAGATTCAAAAGAACTTTCTGCTCCTATATCTTTAAAGAGTTCTGTTAGTACTTCTATATCTGACATTTATACTACTTCTTTAACCAAAAATTCTTTACATCCTTATGATTTAGTAGAACATCATAAAAATAATACTATTAATTATAGTAAATCTCAACAATTACTTTCTCAATATAAGTAAGTAGGATAGGAGGTAAAAAATTTTGGGCGGAGTTATGTGAAGGAACGTTATTTGATAATAATAATAATAATAAGAGGAACATTGTAAAACATTCAAGACTTTGTAAAAAAAATTTTGTATTATTTATTTTATTTTTATTTTTTTATATTTATATTTATTTTTATTAATATAAATACACGATGTATGTAAAGATTTTATTAATAAAGTCGATACACATAATACATATATAGTATGTATATACAATAATTTTAACGATCGCAGTGGCTTAGGTTTTTCCGGAAATCCTGTTTGTTGGTGTCACAAATCTGATTCATTAAAAGAAAGTGTGGGTAAATATTTTTGATTTTATTCCTTTAAATTCTCATAAATTCTTTAATCCCAAAAAATTTGAGAAGTGAAATGTTAAAAAATTGTTTGAAATTTTATGAAAATTATCAAAAAGAAATTAAAAATCAAAGAGAATTAATAAATGATTTATCAACTCGTGTTGAAAATTTAGAAATCCATTTTAATAAAAATGATCAAGATATTAAAAAATTTAAACAAGAATTTTATTATTTATTTAAATCAAATAATCGATTTAATAATGTTATAGATGATGATGATGATGATAAAGAGATTATTTTAAATAATAATCCAAAATTTATAAAATCTTTAAAAGTTGAATCACAAGAATCACAAGAAAATATTTCTTCTAAACTTGATCGAATTCATTTTAAAATTCAAAATATTATTATTAGAAGAGAAAGTTTAGGTAAAATTATTAAAAAAAGAAATTTTAAAGTTTTATCATATAATTTCACTCGTGATGAATTAATTCAATATACAAAATCTGAAAATTTTATTACTTTAAATAATGATATTAAAAGAATTATTAATAATCTTATAAATAAAATGTTACAAGATGAGTTGACGAATTTGAAGGATAAAAATTCGATTTGGGAAGATAATGAAGATGCAAGTTCGAATTTGGGAGATAATGCGAAAAATGTTGAAGATGTAAATTCGAATCGGGGCAATAATCACGCTAATATTCATGATAATATTCACGATAATATTCACGACAAAGATAATATTCACGACAATAATCACGACAATAATCACGACAAAGATAATATTCACGATAATATTCACGATAATATTCAAGATATTCACGATAATAATCATGACAATAATCGTGACAATAATCACAATAATAATCCCGATAATAATCACGACGATAATATTAATATTCACGATAATAATTACCAAGAAACGATTCCTATACTTGAAACTCTTCATTCTCAAATTCAACAAATTATTGTTCAAAAAGGAATTCTTGGTTATAAAGTTAGGTTAAGGCATTTTAAAGCTCTTTTAGAAAAATATTTTACAATTGGTGATTTTATTCAATATTCAAAAACAAATAAATTTTATTCTTTGAATGATAATTCACAGAGATTAATAAATCTTTTCATTCATAAAAATTTAACACTAGAATTTGAACAAGAAAATATGATATTATCACAAAATTTAGAAGAATATATTAAAAGAGGTTTAATTCCAGAATTACCTTTAAAGTATAATAATTATACCGAGTATAGGAAAAGTGGTATGTTTCACGGATTAAAGAAAAATTTAAAAAGAAATGTTGAAAAATTAGTTGAATTAGAAGAAAGATTGGCAAATGATAAATGAATAGAAAATTAATGATATTAAGAATTTTTGAATTACCAGTTAATAAGTTATTATATTTTTTATTTTTCTTTTGTTTTTCTTATTTCAGAGAGGAGTAACCAATGTTTTATTTTTCTTTTGTAAAAAGATTTATAAATAAAATTCGTGAGGAGATCAAACACGTGATTATAATAATACGACCGAAAATTTAATAATTTATTGCATTTATTGCATATGATGCTTTATTATATCCTAGTTAAAACAGCCATGTTACCAATCAATATAGCCATACTCTAGTCAACCTTGGTGAAAAAAATGAAAAAAAAACAAAAGAAAGAATAATTTTGGAAATTTTGGTTTTTAACTAACTAAAAAATAACCGAGATTTCTGATTCTATCACCTGACCTAATGTTAATTCCTTTTAAGATAATTTATTGATTTCATTTCTGCTTGTTCTTCTTGTGACATATTATTTTTAAAATAATTATTTAAAATATTTTTAATTTCATTTTGTATAATTAATATATCCGGTCGTTTTGACGGATCATCGTCCCAACATTTTTCCATTAATCTTGAATAAGATTTTGGAGTTCCTTTCATAATATTGGGCCTCAATCCATTTATAATTTCTGCTGATAATTCTGATCGTTTATCTTCAAATGGTTGAACACCTGTTGATAGTTCCCATATGATCATTGCAAAACTATAAATATCTGAACTTGTGGTCATTCGTTCTTGTTTTAACATTTCTGGAGAAACATATGGCATGGTTCCAAAATTTTTATTTAATGGATTGTCAATTGGTCGACAAAATCTAAGATCTCCAATCAACCAAATTTCACGACTAGTGGAATAACCTATGATCTCTGAATGTAAATCTCCATGGATTAATTTATTATTATGTACACTTCCTAATGATTCCGCTATATCAAGAAGTATTTTAAATTTTTGAACCCAATTAAGTGAATTCATGTTATCTTGCAAATAATTTTTAAAATTATATGGCATAATTTCCGTAATAATCATATAATTGTTATTACCATAATCTTTTGTTAATCCATAACTACGTATAACAGGCGAATTAGTTGATGATAATAATAAATGCGTTTTAATCTCTTGAAGCCATTGTTCTTTATTCATGTTTATATATTTAATAGTTACAACTTGTGGTCCAAATCTTTTTAACTCTTGTCGTTCATAATCCCATTTTTCATATTTTCCTTCCGTCCATATTGCTTTTACTTTATTAAAACTTCCTTGAGTTACATATTGAATATCTTGTAAATTATTATAAGGTATCCATTCCACAATAAAGTCTGGTTTAAGAAAATTTTTTTGAAAATTTTGAATCCATTCATCAATTTCTTTATTATTGGAACTCCATTTTAAAAATCTATCTTCCAAATATTTTTTAATACAAAATTCACAAGTTTTCAAATTAAAACATTCATTTTGACATTTTTCACATTTTTTTATTTTCATAATAGTTTTTTTCAGTAGGATCTCATCATTTAAAGAATTATCCTTTTTGATAATATTGATAATAGATTGCGTTGAAGAATCCATTATTTTTTTTAAGTTAAGAAATTCTTCTTAATAATAAAAAAATAAAAAAAAAAATGAGAATTACTCATTATATATATATATATATTATTTTATTTGTACGAATTAATCATAATATTATTAATTTCATTTACCTTTTATATAAAAGTTTTTTTATTCATTCATTTAACCAACATGAAAGTCTCATTCATTAAAAATCAAAGTTTCATTTACTAAATTCAAAAATCTATTAAAAATGAAAAATTTCATTTTTAATTTATCTTCTCATTTACTAAAAAGGTATAGTTTCATTTTTTATCTTCTTTTACTTAGATGGTAGGCGTATCTTAATTTTTAATTAGGATGATATAATAATATAGTAATATTATTATTTAGTACAAGAAGTTCACGTGAAATCATCGCGTACCAATTAATTTGAATAATGAAAACAGGTTGAACAGGTTATGAACCTGATTCTCTCTCTTTTTTTGGGGGAAAAAATTAATAATTTATTTAATTATAAATATTGATCTATAACAGATAATGGTAGACAACATGATAACTTTATTATCATGTGATACTCTAATATACATATTTATTTTACATTCAAATCTAATTATAATATTATTTATTTATCTGTTCTTGTAACCCTATATATTTCCCATGCATCAATCTCATATCTGCCTTCAGGTAATATAGTTGGTTGTTCGTAAAGTCCATCACTTTTAATGTGACAAATAACATGAGGCCATATAATATCATCATCAAATCCATAATCTGGCTCATCAGTATGTATATTCCCGTGTCTATAGATAAAACTCAAATCTTCTCCAAATTTCAACAGAATACCATTGGGATATACACTCGTCTGAGAAATCGCTTTATCAGGAGTTTTAACTCGGCTTAATGTAGCTTCCGTTCCATATTCATCTTTAGATGAAAAAATAAAACTTTCAGTTGTAGTAGCATACGTTTTCTTATCTGATAAGTCTAATTTCCAATTTATAGGATTATAAGCACCAATTATTTCTTCAGAATCTTTAATCCTCATTATCATTAGTGAAGGTCCATGATGACATTTCATTGTTGGTAATAAATTATATGTTGACTGATTATAATATTTTTCATGAGATTTTGATCGACCATTCATTCTAAACAGGAGTGTAAATTGAAATGGCATTTCTAGAAAATCGTCATATGGATCATCTAATTCTTCCGTGGAATTTTCTCCTTCAATCCATGTTGAAATCAATGCTATAAATTCGTCCTCAATAATTTGATGAGGTCTAAAACCATCACAAATAATTTTACGATGTGAATTCCTAATTTTTCGAATGGGATTTCTAATTTTAATTTTACGAGATGGATTCGTAAAAATATAGTTAAATGTAGTATATTTCGATATAACGGGAGAATAAGTTCGAGTTTGAAATTTACTATCCCTTTTAGAGACTCTAAAAATTTCCCATTCATCAATAGTGTAAACTCCTTCAGGTATTATAGCTGGTTGTTCATAAGAATCATTTCGCTTAATATGACAAAGTACCGATTCTTCCCCTCTATAATCTTCTTCATAATAAAATTGTAAACCTTCCCCAAATCTTAATAAGACTCCATTGGGAACTTCAGTATTATAATTGCGAGAATATACTTCTTCTGAACAAATTGCTCGACGAAAATTTTTAACCCGACTTAATATATAATTAGTTCCAATCGCATCTTCGATTGAGAAAATAAAACTTTCTGATGTATTTTCATATTCGCATAAACCTGACCTGCCTAACTTTTGTTTCCAACTGACAGGATTATAGGTTCCGATTATCTTTCCTGATGATTTAAGTTTCATTATCATCAATGAAGGTCCATGATGACATTTCATTGTTGGTAATAACCTATCTGTTGATTTATTATAATAATTATTATTTTGATGGTAGAAATCTGTAGCATCTTTCATACGAAATAAAGGAGTGAATTTAAATGGTGTGTTAGACCAAGTGTACAGATCTTTCACAGGATCTTTTTTGTTAATCCATGTCGCAACCAATGCAAAAAAGTCATTATCAACAATCTTTGTTTCAACAAGTGGATTAATTTGATGTGAAATTTTAATTTCTTCGTTCATTACTACTATTGGTTTATCATCCTTCCTATGAATTTTGTAAATATCCCATTCTTCAATCTCATACTTGCCTTCCTCCATTATAGGATGTTCATAATAGTTATTTTTAATATAACAATTAACATAATATACATTATATTCAAATGAAAGGTCTTCCCCAAATTTTAATAGTACACCACTGGGATATACGCTCTCTAAGCACATTGCGCGATTAAAATTGCGAACTCTGCTTAATTTAAAATTTGTTCCATATCTGTCATCACATGAAAATAGGAAACTTTCTGATGTACTAACATATACTCTTTTTGATATGTCTTGTTTCCAATCAACTGGATTATAAGTCCCAATTATTTTTCCTGATCTTTTAAGTTTCATTATCATAAGTGATGGCCTATCATGACAGCATTTCATTGTAGGTAATAATCTACGAGTAGAAGATTTATTATAAAATTTATGATGTTCAGTATAGAACCCCGTCATATCTTTCATACGAAAAACATGCCTAAATTGAAGTGGAGCATTGAATCCAGTGTATGGATTATCATTAGGATCTTTTCTATCAACATATGTCGCAATTAATCCAGTAAGTCTACTACTAATAACTTCTGGTTCAACAAGTGAATTTGAGCGAGGTGGGATCTTATATCGAACTAATTGTGTCGGCAATATCGGTTCATAATCTTGAATTGACAATCGTTCTTCCCTACTCATATTTTTGTATTGAATTAGTCGTAAACTATCTTCCAAAGTAACCCCCAATGCATTGATCTGAGATGTTTTATCTGTTAAAGTATGATAATCAGGAGTATTTGCAATACCCCATTCAATCAATTTATTAAAAATTTTTATTTCTGGTATGCAAAGCATGTCCAACTTAAGTATACGCAATAATAATTCTTCTTCAATGTGTACAAAATCTGGAGAATCAAATAAAATTGATGGTCTCTCTGCAAAGACATCTTGGCATATTAAATAAAGGTCTTGAGTAGATGGAATCCGATAAGAGGTTTTTAATATAGGAAAAATATCTTCATCAGACCATTCCTTATTTTTATTTTTCTTTTCATCTAGTTTAGATCTTAAAAAGTCAAAAAATTCTAGGAGAAGAAGAACATCAGAAATTAACATCAGTTCCATCAAAATATTCGTGTCCGGATTATACAAAGTGACCTTCCCATCACAGATACCCCTGCAAATTTCAAAAAAATCATATTTGTTAATTAATGAGTGAGTTCAAAAAAAAAAAAAAAAGTAAAAGTAAAATAAAATTCACGAACGAGCTTTACTTTAATATTATTTCAAAAGCATCAGTTGAAACTTCCAAACTTAGCTTATACTTATCATCAATTTTTCTTGCCCATTTTTCTGATAAGGCAACCTTAAAATATTCGCATTTTCTACGAAGTTTACTCGAATATGCATCAAAAGTCTTGATATTGCCGGATGTTCTATCATAGATTTCTATAAGTGTATCATGAGGACCATCGATTATAGGAGGATCTAATGAATCAGTAGTTAGATCTGGAAAAGTATAAGAAACCATCGTGGTTGAAAACATTTTGAAAATAGTTTAAATTCATCATATTTATATTTGTCGTATAGATTTGATAGATTGTACATTGAATGCAAATTGCCAAATTTTTGTTGTACGAATTATAGCGCCTTATTCATTGTAATATTACCATTATTAGTCAAATGAATTTTCGAAAAAAGAAAATGACTCCCGAAAATTTTTATTATCTTTTCATTATTCCATTCTGGTAAAGAACCGAAAGATATTTTTTTTTTTTTAGATTGTCTATATTATCAATGGTCTTTTTACCTAATTAAAAATTCATATAATTGAAAAAATATAAATTTGGAAATATATATGGGATTTACAACAATACATTGTATAACTAACAATGGTCTTTCCCCATGTGATTGGGGAACTTTAATTTTGAAATTATATAATCTGATTGGTTAGAAATTTCATAGAGATTGTTCAATCAAAAGATCAAACGTACGCCTTAACTTTCAATAATGAGCATCAATAGAACTTGAGTGTACGATATAACGTAAAATCAAAAACAAAATAAAACTGGTTATTTTTAAACAAAAAAAAAAAAAATTGATTCGTGAAATTACGTAAAATTAAAGCCATAATTTATAAAAAAAGAAAATTATGACAATGGCCATTTTTTTTTTATTAAAACAACATTGAACAAACAATATTGACAAATCAAGTATTATAATAAATAAAAATAAATTATAATTGGGAATTTTAAATTTAAATTAAATTAAAAATTTGAAATCTAATCTAATCTTAATCATACGGTTACAATCCTACTATCAGTCTACTAATTTCGGCCAAGCCAATGATTGTGATTTCAGCTATTAAATAATCTAGAATATAATTTATCGTGTCTACCTTGTAAAATGTCAAGAATAGGAGAAGTTTGTACAGCATCATTAGCTTTAATATTACAAGTTTTTTCAAGTGAAGATTCGACATAAGAATGACATTCAGTTAAAATTCTTTGAGCATAATAAGGTCCAACAATATTTAAACGGACAGCAGCTGATAATGCAGCTCTTGAGAATAAAAAAAGAAATAAGTGTTGTGCACGTTCTATCATGATTAAAAATTGTGTTAGAAAGAATTATCGAAAATTATAATAAAAAAATTATATATATATACATACATATATATATCCCATAAAAAATTAACTTACCTAAACTTATACCAAGACATTTAGAAACCAATCCAAAAGCAACAGGTAAATGACCAAAAGTACTTTCTTTTCTAACTTCAAATTTAAATTTATCAATAATCCTATCACTTATATTTCTTTTCCCTTCATTATCCTCACTAAATTCTTCACCAAATGATTTACTAAATAATGTTAACATAGCAACGCCTTGAGCTTTTGAAGCACGTTTAGTAATAACATTACTTGTACAAGTTTCATACAAATAATCCAATTTAATAATATTTTCAAATATTAGAGCGTCATTATCATCATTATCATCATCATTATTAGAAGTTTGGGAAATAACTTGCCAAGAATCGGTCACAAAAGGCAATGCGGAGTAAGCATAATTTTCAATACTTGAAGATAAGAATATTAATAAGGAATTATTGTCCTTAACGTATCCTGATTGTACGGCTACTTCTAAACCTGATGATGCTACAAATCCACCAGTGGGCAATGCCGAATCAGCAAATTGCCATAATAACCAATCTTCTTTATTAATATTTTTTTGTGTGGCAGAATTATTCATACTGTAAATAAAAAAAAAAATAAGGAGCGGATTCGATTTTCTTTTATATTTTGAATAGAATGGTTGAATGATCAACAACAATACAATCAATCTTTTTATTGTTACCATTGTTTACAAGATTCTCGGTTTTTTGTTTCTTGATAATTTTTTTTCTGTTATCAAAAAAAATTTTGAAACTTTTAATATTCGAAAAACCGAAATAAATAAAAGAATCATTGTAATTCTTTTTTATTAGGATAATTTCGTTATTGTTTGGACTATAACTTTGAGTAATTTTACGTTCTTCGATTTCAAATTCGTGGGTAATTATATCAACTTTTATTAAATTTTTTTTTGTATTGTTATCTTCAATGTTTAATATCTTGAAGCATGTTGCTTTCCTTTATGACTTAATGTTAGTTGATTTCTTGGATGATTTTTTTATTAATTTTTTTTAGATTTCGGCGGTATGATTAGATCGTACCAAAAGGTTATATATTACTGATGATCATATAATATCGTCTTATATTATCTGCAAATTAAGAATTCGTCATATGCTCATTTACTCCTTGAAGCTGGAGATAAACTAACTGTATTTTTTAGATTTTTAAGAGATGATTACCAATGAGATTTTCAATTTTTGGGTAAAATTGACGTTTGATGATCTTGTAGGATTATATTATCTTAAAATTATTCTTATTATTGCATATATTTGGTTAGTTTGCGAAAACCTTTATGAGTAGACGCTCGATAAGGTATCTTTTGTGTCAATTTAGCATTCTACGTATCTCCAAGTAAGTTTTGAAATTTTGTTACCAATAATATGCATGATTTTCCCGCCCCCTAGTTTCCTTTCTCAGGTAAAACAATGTTTTTTAAAAGAGATTTAGGTACACATCCTTATTCTGACCGAAATCACATTATCTATATGTTTATGGGCGTGCATATGTGAAATTTTATATTTTCTATTATATTCTATTAATATCCATTCAAACAAGATTTAATTCAGGTACCGGATAATCTCTCGATAAATTAAGGAATTTTGTGTGATCATATTGATCATTTAAATTCTACTGCGGAAGAGAATTTTATTACCATTTTGATGGAACAAAAACGAAGGAGGCTTATTATATCTAAATTCCTATTCTGTATACTGATTCTAGTTAGTATTTCCCACCGGAAGATGTAAATCATCTCCTCATTTGTTGTGTTCGAGTAATACACTGGAATTTCATATGAAAAAGTATAAATTTGAAAAAAGCTTCTTAATTAAAATTCTCACATTTTCATTTTCATTTTTCTTTTTGTTTTGTTTAAAAGAAAAAAAAAAATGGCTTCAGATATTAACAATAACGGTTTAGATTATAACGAAGAAACAAATCCATTATATCATTTCTTAAAAAAACAAGCAACGGAATTTGAGTTATTTGGACAACGTTTAAGAACTGAAATACAAAATTCATATCAAGAATTTACAAAACTTCAAGAACAACAGAAACAAGAAGAATCAAATCAAACAAATCATGAAACAACTACAGAATTTCAAAGGGCCCAACAAATTATTAATGAGATAATGAATCTTAGTAATTCACAAACAGAATTAATAGAAGCATTAAAATCTCGTGTTGAAGAATTAGAAACTGAATCTATTATAAAAAATCAAGATGTTAAAAAACTTCGACAAGAGCTTGAACTTAATAAATTACGAATTAAAAAATCTGAAACTAAAAGTAAATCTGATACCAAAGGAAAATCCGTTGATATTGGAGATAAACAAAATCCAATAGATCATGAAGAGATTTGGAATTATGAAGGTTTAAATTGGGAAGATATTATGAATGAGAATCTGAATCTTTTAAATATTTCAAAAACAACTCATACTGAACCTTCCTCATCAAATCATTTTTCTTCATCTTCACAATCTAATTCTCTTTCTAGAGAAAAATCAGAAAATATTTTTCTAATTAATCAAATTCACACTAGAGTTCAAAAAATTATTAACCGAAGAGAAAATCATGGTAAAAAACTTAAAAAGAAGAATTTCAAAATTTTAGCGAATGATTTTACTCTTAATGATTTAAGACAATATACAAAATCAGAAAATTTTAAATCTTTAAAGGAAAAGGTTAGAGGGCATGTAAATAAAGTAATAGAAGATAATATGAATAATCCGAATTTTTCGATGAAATCTCATAATAAACCAATTAATACTACTTTTTCACGTTCATTAACTCCTTTTACTTCACAAATTAATTCTTTTTCACAAGAAAATCAAGAGATTCCTCTTATAATTGAAAATCTTCATTCTCAGATTCAACAAATTATTAAACAAAAAGAAGTTAGTCAGACTAGAGTTAGATTAAAGCATTTTAAAGCTTTAAAGTCTTATACACTCAATAATTTTATTCAGTATACAAAAACAAATATGTTCAATTCTTTGGATAGTAATTCTAAAAGATTAATGAATCTTCTTATTAGTGAAACCTTATCAAGAGAATTTGATCGTCAAAATTTAGTACTTTCACAAAGTATGGATGAATATATTACAAGGGGCGTTATTCCAGAATTACCTTATGGATATAAAAATTATACTGAGTATGAGAAAAGTGATATGTTTAACAGATTAAATAAAGTTTTAAAAGCAAGAGTCGTTAAGTTGACTATGTTAGAAAAAAGAATAATAGTTTAAATGAGAGTTATGAGCTATATATATATATATATATATATTGATTTTTTTGATTTTTGATTTTTGATTTTTGATTTTTGATTTTTTTTTTCTTTTTTATTTATAGTTTTAAAGGTTGTATTTGTTAGACTTGTATAAATATCAAATAAAGTATCAATTTTATTTGGATAATCTTTTTCGCGCAAGGCATATTGTATGAATTTGCAGTATCTTTCAATCTGAATATTATGCGTGATTTCACCATTTCATCCGCCAATGATGAACGTGATATCACAGATATGGAAGATCGGCTAGCAAAGATATAGTATCGTACTGGTTGCTGATGTGGTCAGCGGTCAAATAGATCTACAAAAATTCCCAGATCGATTTATAATAAACAACACGTCTGCCCTATAACATATATGAATAAATATAACCAATCCGATACGATCAAGAATTGAACAGGGCTAGTGTAACATGTCAAACCAAAATATATTCCGAGGAAGTTGTTTAAACCCCTATTTTATTTTATTAAATCACGTATATACTGTACGTATAATGTAAATATATGTATCGTAAATTTACTGTTTTTTTTCCATTCAAATTTATAAAATTTCGATCTTTGTATGATTTGCATATTAGATGTCAATTAAAAATTGACAATTTGAGGCGCGTTAACTGTCATCTGACACAATACAATTGGTCCTTTATTGTATCACGAATTAATCGTATACATTATTAATAAATAAATGAAACAAAATTTCACGTACCTGATTTACTTTGTTTGACATCTCCGACCACTATGACATCGACTTACATAATTATTTCCCATTTTTCTACAAGAGCAGATTGTACCTGTAGTTAGTCCCACATTTTGAAGACGTGAAAGCGAAGCTGAGCAGCGTGTGTTATTGCGGTGCAGCCTTTCTAACATGCAAACATACCATCGATGTGATCCCCAGGAACCAGTACCATCTGGCCAGATGCTTAGTCAAATTTGATTGGTCAATGGTCGGTCATAGATAACTGGTATGTTTGATTTTTCGTGTTATATTTTCTTTTCTGTTTCCTATTTTTTTGCAATATTTCTTATAAGCACATACATTTTTTTTTTAAAAAAAAATCATCATATTGTAGTTTAGTATTAAATGCTAGTACATTGATTTATTTTTCAAATAAAACTTCAGAATTTTGATACTGTAAAATATTAGAACTGCGCAACTTCTATATAAATAATTTTTGTGATATTTGTGATAATATAATACTTCGTGTGCTTTTGTCTTTATGTTAATGTCGATAAAAATATATATATTTTTTTTTAATTAAAATATTGCAAAATCTACAGGCTTTGGATTTTGGAAAATACTATGCCTTTTAAAAATTATAATTTGATAACAACATTGTTCGAAGTTTTGATAAGTACATTTTAAAGTTATTTTGAACTAAGTTCATCGGGAATTTGGACCGCAGTCCAGGATGCTCGAGTACAAAAATTGGGAAAATTTTTGATTTAGACGATTTCTTTTTGAAACGGTGACGGCGAATTTTATTGGTCAGGTTTATCTCAAAAAAAAATTCAAGAAAAAAGAGGGAACATTTATCTATTATCTTTATAAATATAAAAAACATTTATTTTACGATCCTTTCCACTTTATAAATTAAAATAAGCTATAAATCTTTGTATTATTTATATAATTTAATAATTGTAATAAAAAGATAATTTTTATAATGTATTAAATAGAATCAAAACTTGTTAGTTCCCCTTTGTACTCCCAAGATTGCAAAAATTTTTTCAATCTCTTGGTCTCGGTGGTTTTAACGGGGGATAAACGAAGCTATTTTTGATTTCTTTGGTTTTTTACTACGTATCTACTTGTGGTTGTAAAATAGCTTTTTAGTAGTGATTTTTAACAACCACCTTAATATATTTTACAGACTAATTGGTCCAAAAATAATTTTTTTACGAAAAAAATAAATAAAATTAAGTTCTTTTTTAAAGAATACGTATAAATATTCTCTTTTTTTATTAAAGTCAATACATATATTCTGGTGATAACGTTCAGCTTTATTATTATTTATGATTATATTAGTCTGTTTAAAATTTATCGTACTTACAAATTTTATAAGTTTACTGAATCCTAATTAGTTATAATGTTATGATGGTGAATTAAATGTGTCTTTTCTTTTCCCAATAAATTATCCATAATTTATCGGTAAATAAAAAAAAAAAGATTGGAATTTATTCTTAGCGAAAGTTTTAAAACCAAGATCATAATAAAATAATTGATCAAGATTTTGATAAGTCATTCGCTGTAATATAAGAAATAATTCAAAAAAGCCTTTTGTTCTAATTGCATATCATTGATCATTAAATAAATATATGATTAAAGAATTCAATATATTTAAGGATATTAATATTATCTAATTAATATTCTAAGCGTCAGTTATATACATCATAATAAAATTTAGAATTAAAAGTATGATCGCTTACAATAAATAAAGTGTTCAAAAGGGTTTGCCCTCAGAAAAAAGTAATATTAATCATAAGAGGAAAATAGGTATTATTCTTCTTTCTTTTTGAGAGGAAGTTCAATTAATCTCCACCCATTCTTAGCTTTCTTTATCTTTTGCCATCTGCCTAATCTATGTTCCTGTCCTATTCCAGCTAAAAGAAAAACTTTTTCATCAATTACAGTCGCAAATTTCAATGAATTTACAAAACCAATCATCGTTATTTGCGTTAAAGGAACAAAAGATTTAAAATTATTTGCAATCTTCCATAATCGAATATTGCCATCCCATGATCCAGAAACAAATAAATCAGAATATTTAATTATAGCTAATGAGGTTATCCAATATGCTAAAGGTATCGTGCCTTCACTTTCTATGCCATGTGCTAAACGGTATACAAAGATCGGCTTCTTTATACCTATATTCCATAAAGAGATGGTACTATATAAAATTTCGAAATAAGAAGTTACTATAAATATTTAGAAATCATAATAAAATATGTTATTTATCGTACCCGCTATTACCACCAGAGAGAAAATTATCCTCGTCAATCATTTCCACGACATCTATACTATCCTCCATAAATGTTTGATTATCTCTTTTTACAACTTTCACATCACCGCGTAAGATTAGCTGTTTTTCTTCGATAACTTTAAACAATCTACAAGTTCTATCTCGAGCGCCCGCAGAAACACATCTTTCGCGTGAAAGCGTGTCAATACTCATAATTTGATCCTGATGACCATACCTTAAATATGAAGAAAAATTAGCTTGATTAACAAATAACTTAAATTAAAAGTTAATAATATAGGAGTTTCTCACAGAGTATCAACGTAACATAATTCATCTATATTCCATATTTTAATGGTTCTGTCGAACGAAGCACTATAAAGTTGATTAGAGCCTTTGCGAAAAGCAAGACTCTAACAAAATAAAGTATAAATGTATAAATTAAATTATGGTATTATGTTATAATAAAATAGAACTTTAATAATCATTATTTCTTACAGATATAGAATCTTTATGTTGTGTAAAGCACTTTAATAACTTATTCTCTTTCACAGACCATATATTGATTTTCTTGTCTATACCACCGCTTGCCAGATATTTTCCATCTGAACTGATAGCTAATGATAAAACGTGATTTGTATGGCCATCAAAGTTCTTTACTTCTTTTCGACCTCCTGGAAATGTATGCAATTTTTTGCCAGATACCAAGTCCCCTATAAAAGAAAAATCAATACAAAAGTAAATGAGAGAATTAAATAATAAAATTAATAAATTATGTCCAATACAATTAAGTAATTACATTTTATTATAGAAGCGTCTTTTGATCCTGTATAAAAGATTTGTCCATTTTCTGCTACGGCAACACATGTAACTGTAAGTTCGTGACGACCAGATTTTACATTAGAATCTTCAATAGGAAAAGAGAACTAAGGGAAAGATAGAAAAAAAAAGTTTGAGTAAACAGATAAATTAACGTGATAAAAAAAATAAAATCGATATGTACTGTATCTGCTATTATACGATGAGCGCGACCTGTTTGTTCTAACTAATTTAAAATAAGTAGGTAAAAAAGAAAAAATTTTACTTTAACATAAATAAATAAGTTCAATAACAAGTTAATACATAATTCCTTTATTAATGATCATATACCGCGTCCTTTTTGAGACGTTCCGCTATTAAATCTCGATCAATTTCTGCCGCATCAAATTCAGCTTCATCTAATTATGATATATTTCATTAGTTAATTAGTTTAAATATTTTTTAATGTTAATTTATTAAGTTATGCATTTCTTACATTACCTAATTCTTTCTTAACAGATTCTATATACTGTTTAGCAAGTCGTCTTCTCTTCTCTGTTGGAGTCTCCATATTATTCTCATCCTCGTCACTTTTTTCTTCCTCGTCATTATCATTATCAAAATCCATATCATCGATACCACCAGGCCCAATTTCATCTTCACTACTTAAATTTTTCTCTTGATCTATTTTTTCATCAGCTAGCTTTTTTTTACTTCGCGTCACCCTTTCTTTAGTTTGAGGAATGTTTTCTCCGTTCTGTGTCTTAACCTTTTTTCCGTTTGATGTTACATCCCCAGAAGTCATAGGCTTACGTTTTTTGATTTTTGGAGTAACAAAAAAAGGATCTGAAGACATTTTTTTTTTGAAATTTTGCTATTTTTCCTCAAAAAAAAAAAAAAAATTTTTTGGTTTTATTAAATTGGTGAATCTAATTGGCCGATAATTTTAGTTATTTGTTACTGTAGATCTATACTTTTTTGGGTTTACACATTTAGAGGTTTGAATCATGCGATACAGCGATAGGACATTTTAAACTTCTTTTTTTACGATGGCAAATAATAGTACCAAAGTCATTAATGACAATTCTATCTTGCCTATTATTTACGAGACAAATTTTACTATTGCATTAGGTAATTTTTGATCGAGAATTTTTTCTTGAATATGGTTATTTGTATATTAATTCCGCATATCTGATATTGGATAGAAATTGCCGAAGAATTTGAGAGCTGGTTACAAGATCACCTTAATGAGACATTGAATAAAAAATCTGGTTTCCGTGATGCAGAAGTATTTCAACGCGATCCTCAAAATGACGATGACCCTGAAGTTAAAAATCCCGATAGAGTTCACAAATATTTTACCATACTTTTTGAAGTAGAAAATAAAGACAGTATCGATCGTTATTTAAGAGAAGAGGTTAGCATAACTGAATTATTCAATTTTAAAGTTCTTTATTTTAGAATCGATTTGCACTTTAATAGATGAAATTAAGTGTTATATTTAAATTATTTTATTCCATTTAATCGTTCTGTAAAAGGCTCCAAAAATTCAAGAAACTTTAGAGCAAAAATTTAATCAGAAGGATGCTTTGGTTGTTTCTTCGCGTCGTATTCTTTATCCAGTTTCACTTTGGGCTAAGAGACAAAATTACGAAAAGAAATAATTTAGAACTTATGTGTGATTATTTTATTTTATTTTTCAATAATGAATATTACAAATTTATTGTAATAAATTCAAGAAATTAAAATACCACGTAAATTATTATTACAAATAAAACTACATATGCTAAATGTTATATATTAATATTCCATTAAAAGAATTTTCTTAGCATTCCTGTACCTTCATCCACTCATATATATATATACAGGTATGAACCTTTCTGCTAATCCGTAAAGACTCGGCAAAAATCGGTACATAAATCAAGATGGTATGAAGGTTTGGAATCTTTTTAATAAATGTAAATTGTAAATATGATTAATTAATTACTTTATTAAAGATTAACGGGTTTTTATATTTTTTAACCATTTCATTTTGTTTGCTATTTCGTCATCAACTTTTGCCACTTGTTCAGAATATAATTGAGTCTTTTGATTTGAACTTTCAACGTCCTTTTTCATTTTTTCAACCTCATCTAGTAATGAAGCGATGGAATTTTCTTGATTTTCTCTTAGTTGTTTTTGAATTGCTTCTAGATTTGCTACTTCTGCTTTACGATCCTTTGTTAGTGTTTCAACACGAGAACTAGCTTCAGTCACGACAGTTTTTAACTCTTTAGAAGTTGAATTAAGTTCATTACGAAGTACTTGATATTCTTTTTTAATAGACTCCACATCATTTGAATATCGAGTTTTGAAATTCTGCAATTCTTTTGATAATAACTGATATTGAATCTCCGCTAATTCTTTGCCTCCTAGAGCAGCAGCTACTTGTTTTTCTAATTCTGCAGCTTTCCTTTCTGACTCTTCCAATAACTTGTTATTATTTTCCCTTTCTATTTTGAATTCAAGCTTTTTCTTTTCATTTTCTTTTGTAGCTTCTTCCAATTCTTTAACTTGTCTTTCCTTACGTTCCAACATTCGTTTTAATGAATCGATTTCTAATTTTAAGGTTTGATGTGATGCAGAATGTTCAGAGACTTGCCTATCCGCTCGTTCACGAGCAACTTTTGCAATATGTATTTGAGTTTTAGCGTCAGCAACCTCTTTTTTTAAATGTTCGATTTCATGTTGAAGATGACCAATGACTTTTCCAGTAGTAGATTCGTTAGTAGTCCCGCTATTGTAATATTGAGGTCTACTACGACTAAGCTTTTTTTGTACTGTGGCGAGCAAAGCATTTTTCTCCGCTAAATCGTGACGAAGTGTATGCACTTGATGTTTTAGTGCTGTTACCTTTGTCGAATCTATATATAATACATCAACGACAGAAAGAAAATCAATTTAATAAAGAGCCAGAGTCAGAGCCAGAGATTGCAATAAAAATTAGTATATATGTCATTTTAAAAGCTATCCGACGAAAGAACAAAAAAAAAAGAAATTTTACCCAGTTCTCCGTTCATTGAAAAATTCGAAAAATATAGTAATAAAAATTATAATAGGTATGAAAATACTAGAAAGAAAAGATTATGCTGCCAACAAGAAATACCCGATTTCTTTGAAAGTTGAGTTTAATTTATCAGGATTCTGGTAATAAATTTGAAAATAAAGTAATAAAGTTTAATATGATGTTTTTATATTTTGTCTTAAAAGGCTGTGTAAAATATGATTTCCCTAAAATTGTATTACATTGCTTATTCAGGGAGGTGGGAACCAACTAAAGCTCTACATACCCATCCGTGATTACCTATTTTGTATTTTTATACAGGAAGATTTTTTGTCTATCGGTAGATTCGTGTTGATGATGCAGCGTGATTAACACAATATTTCGTGCTAGCTTTATTTTTACGTTAACTTTGTATACCATCTTGCATACATAAAAGTTCAAGTTGATAAAAATTTTTTTTAAAAGCATTCTTTGCATTTTTAAATATTCATGGCTACTTTCGCCACTGACAAAGAAATAAATGAAAGCTTTCAACAAGATGTGCATCTGGGAGTAAACAGTTTTTCTGCTGTTGCTGGTGTAGAAGACCGAGATGTTGTACCCGCAACAGCAACAACCGAAATTTTTGGCCGGTTTCAAGCATTAAAGGTTAATTTTATATCGAATTTTGGAAGTTATTTGTTGTGTCCCTAACTTCTTCGTTATATAGACGTTGTTACATCCGAACCTTTGCGAATATGTAGAAATTGTTAAAGGCAAACACGGTAATTCAAGGCGATAAAATTTTTTGACAGTAAGTCCACTTTATGACGGGCATTTCACCTGATAATGGATTTTAAATTTTTAAATTTTTCTAGATCGATTGTTTGTGGTATCTGAATATCACATGAATCATCTTGGAAAATTATACCAACGTAACGAAGAAGGCAACACTCTGGTTTCAAAGTAAGAAATGACAGAGTATATAATTATTATTTATTTTGGTGTTCCGGGATTTTAAACAGCAATATATTTTTTTTTTTTTGTGTTACGAAAGAATGGGAATGGTTATGTTACGTGAATGGGCTTTTCAAATTTTAAAAGCACTTGCATATTTGAATCAAAATGGTATAACGCATCACAATTTAGCTCCTCACAATATTCTCTTAGATATTGAGGTAAAAAAAAAGCGCCTTTAAATTAAATTCATTTGATACATTTAATTATATTTATCAAACCATCCCCTTTTTAGGGTAGAATCAAATTAGCCGATTATGGTTTATTTTATATGACTAATGGTGGAGAAGATGTGGATTTCCCGATTGGGTGAGTACAAAACAAATGTACTGTTTTTTCATATCCGACTTTTCTGAATGAATTATTCAAAAATTACGAAAGCTATCCACATTACCTTCCTCCTGAGGCAATTTATCGCCGAGCTGATATGCCAGGTGCTACTGGAAAGGTACGAAGTAATCAATGATAAATAGTTTGATTATTGCTTTCTAAAGATTAAAATTATTTACTTATAGGTGGATGTGTGGTCACTTGGTGTAATATTGGCCGAAATTTTTACTGGGTCACCTTTTTGGGTAGGAAATGATAAAGACATTGAGAAATTGTTTTCTTCGTTATGGAAGCTCCAGGAGGCAGAACATAATGATGATATCTGGGAAAAGTTTTATATCTGGGATTGGGATTTGGGTATAAATGAGGCTATTTTGGATTTTCTTCAAGTTACCGAGGAAGATGATATTGTCGATTTCCGAAAATTCATTCATGCATGTTTGAAAGTGGATGCTTCAAAAAGGTGTTCACCGGAACAATTATTGTCACATCCATTCTTTTCTTCATCATATGGAGATGATCTTAGCAGCCAATATAAATATTGGTGGAAAAAGCCATTCTTACAATCACAAAAAATTTCTTTCGATGAAGAAAATTTATTTGATCTTATAGATGATCAACCTAACAAAGATGTTCTTCATGGGTTGCCGTTATCTCAGATTTATTATTTTTGGAAGCTTGCTGGAGGCGATGTGGAAACAGAATTGGCCAAAAGAGGTTACCTACTAAGTACACCACCAATCGAACGAATTCCAAGGACCGTGAAAGTGCAAGATGGAAAAGAAGAAGGCACAACGGAGGATACGGCCTTTCTATTTTCTGATACTGTTTATACTTTATCTTTAAAAGAACTTCGGCAAAGGCTTGAAGTAGCTACTGGTCCTAATAGAGAAGCGTTTGAGTGGGATACCGACTATTTTATGCAAACTGATGAAGATGATATGAACTTTCTGGCAGAAGAAATGTCAAATGATGATAATTCAGGTTCAGGAGATGAAGTTTTTGGAAAGTATCTTTTCCCTGATCCAAATAACCATAAGGTGATTTCATCATCGATAAATGGACAAATCATGCCACCAACGAATAACGTTAAATTACCATTAATGAATCGTGAAAAAGATGTTGGTTATCAGTTTCAGAGGGTTGTCTTATTTAGTGAATTACTTAGACAGTATCCAGCATCACGGGATGAAATTATTCATCATGCCAAAGTAGATATACCACCGTTTTTACGCGGAAAAATTTGGGCTGCGATTTTAGGAGTTAAAGGCGACTACCAAGCATTATACGACTCGTATAATAAAGAAACAGAAACTACAACAGATCGTCAGGTTTGTCATATAAACTAAATAATAGTATAAATCAAACGATAATTAATGTACTTATCTATTTTTGTTTAACCATATTTATCCTAGATTGATGTTGGTAATACACTAATTTGCTAGATATGAGATTTCATTTTTATTTATTAAAATCTAACGGATGTTGATTGGTTAATTATTGGTGATAGACGTTCCGAGGTGTCATCAATATAATCAACTACTTTCGTCTCCTATTGGTCATGAAAAACTTCGAAGGCTCTTGAAGTGTTTTATTGCGGCGAATAATAAATTGGTTTATTGGCAAGGTATATATTAATTATATTAATAATATTTTAAAGTATTAAGTTTATAACATTATTTTAAATAATATATTTTTGATTTTTATTATATAATAGGATTTGACTCTCTTTGCGCCCCTTTTCTAACGCTTAATTTTAATGACGAAGCTCTTGCATTTAGTTGTTTACACACATTTGTTCCGAAATTTCTTCAAGACTTTTTCTTGTCTGATAATTCGCCTGTTATCAAAGAATATCTTGCGGTTTTTAGCCATCTTTTATCATTTCATGATCCGGAACTTTCAAATCATCTTGATAAAATAGAGTACCACCCTGATCTATATGCAATTCGATGGTTTTTGACATTATTTACTCGTAAGTTATGTATTCATTTCTTATGTTCAATTTAATCTATTTATATAACTTTATATTATCTACCATTTTTTTCAATGAGCAGATGTTTTTCCATTGGATAAAACTTATCATCTATGGGATAAAATCCTTGTTGGTCCACCATCGCTACCATTATTTATTGGTATCTCTATCCTAAGACAGCTTCGTGAGATGCTTTTAAAATCCGAATTTAATGATTGTGACACATTTTCTGAGTCGTTTCCTGATGTTGACATTGAAAAGTGTATCCAATCGGCGCTTTCGATGTGCAAAGTAACACCTCATTCAGTAATTTATCGCGTTCATGAGCCTTTTGCAACGCCTGATACATTACATAATGGAGTTCCTGTAAGTGTCTCATCATTAATAATGTAAAAATATCTTTGAATATGTGCCTATAATATTTCATTTTAATAATCAGGATTATCATATCCAACGTTGGTGGGAACAACCCATCCCGATTGATGTTAAGAAAACTGAATTAGCTCCAAGAATTTCACTTAAAGATTTAGTAAAATTGAAGAATTATGTATTGGTTATCGATATAAGAAGTGAACAAGAGTATAGAATCTATTTTTAATTTTAATTTTATTTTTTTTTTAAAAAAAAAAATTTGTATATTTTTATCTTACATTATTGTGACTCTATAGATTTTCTAGAGGACATTTTCCATTATCAGTAAACATGAATCCGGCACATTTAGAACAATTTATACAAGCACTTAAACAAGAGTTTAAGAAATATCATGTAGTTTTAGGCAATAGAGGAGATTCAGGACCGCAGGTTTGTAATTTTTATTGTATATAGGTGTATACATATATATAAAAAGGAGTAGTTAAATAATTATTTCTCTTCAACAATTATAGTTTGCTGCAGAACTCGTTCGTGCCCATTTTACACGAGTTGCAGTGTTAACAGGTGGCATTGATGTTATGCGTGTTGATCCCGTAGAAGGTGTCTCAATATGTTCATGTCCAAATTTTACCTCGGGATCAAAGAACGGAAGTGCTGGTTACCGAAAATGTAGAACTTTTAAATAGAAATAATTTTTTGAGCATTTACTTAATGTATAGAGCGGGAATATCAATGATTCGTGGGTTGGGATAGCTTATAAAATAAATATTTATATAGTAAACGTGATTTTAAAAATCATATGATTCGCAGTAATGGTACTATCAAAGTTTGTGATAATTGGCTGTTTACTTTTTGTATTCGTATAAGTTATTTTTTAAATTACTGTGATCTACATTTGTGATCTACTTCAGAATTGATTGATCGGCATTTCGATCACAAAAACTAAAAACCTTGCGATTAAAGTTCAATTTTGAGCAGATGATTGATTGATCGTGATAAACTATTAACCAACCAATTAGTTAGTGTTTTGTTGTTTTTGTTTATTTCCCGTCAGTATGTTTTATCTACTCGATCAAACGACCTACGTTTTTGGTGGTTCACGTTGAACGGCAGTTGATCATTTTACAGTTAAAATTTATTGGTCAATCAAAAATCACGATCAATCAATTCTGAACTGTGGTGATAGTTAAGGACTCTATCTCTTATCAGTTATGGTAAAACAATGGACCGTTTATTAAAAGCTTTAAGCAATTACGAATAAAGTCCAGATATTAAAAAGAAAACATCTTTTAATATCTTATATTATATTGGCACATTACTAATTTTATATCATATTCAAAATACAAAAAAAATTTTTGCTCAACAAGTTTTTAAAAAAACCAGCAAAAACATAATTCACAGTTCGTAAAACTGCCATCTGAAAACGGTATAAAGGTCATAATTCTATTAAAGCTATTTTTGAATTTTTTAACTGGAGAGACACCTAGGGTCCGGTCTTGGTCCTGGGACCTATAAGTCCTATTGAACGGACCTGTGGACCAGGTCCTGTTAGGACCAGTCCTGGACCTAGTCCCAGGACCTGGTCCTGGACTAAATTATTTATGGATCTAGTGATAACTAAATATAAAAAAAGGGAGTTGCGGTATTGCGATTCACCTTTTATATGATTTTAATATAAAAATATGAATCACAATATCGCAACTCACTTTTTTATATGATTACAATATCGCAGTGCATTTTTTATAATTTATTAATTAAAATCAAATTTACAGTAAGTTTTAGCAAACTATACAGTATATAATTTAAACATAATATAATTTTAGATCTCTTATGACCTGTATATTTAATGTTTGATTTCTATCTAATATATATTGATACTTTATTAACTAGGACTTTGTAGGATCTGGTCCACTTCTGGTCGACTTAAAGATCTGCAGACTAGGTCCTAGGACCAGGTCTTTGGGTCCAGGAATTAGGATTTTACCATTCTTAGAGACACCTACCAAATGGATTTCTCCTAGCAATTTGACAAAATAAATGGAATAAAGCACAAATAAATCTTGAAGAAAATCAACCAGAAAATATAACCATGCAATTTCATTGGATATGGAATAATGACAGATGAAAGTATGTGTAAAGAAAAAAAACACTGGAATTAAGAAAAAAAGAATCATTAGTGACTTATTAAAATAAAAGATATAATTTTCACACTTTCATTCTATTCATTCCATCATTCATTCCTTACTCATTTCATCCCACTATTGCATTATATTGATATTAGATGTAGTGTTGCAATTCAGATGAATCCATCATCCATTCAATTCAGTCCAAAAATAAATGGATGATCTGGATGAAAATCTGATTTAATCTGGATGAAAAAAGTTATATGTATGATCCAGATGATTCAGATCTAATCCATTAAAATATAGAGATAATGGATAATGGATTGGTCTGAATGAATGATCTGGATGATTTGAATGATTTTGAATTGGATAAATCTGTGAATTGATAAATTAATAGATTGATGAATCGCAACACTAATTAAATGACTCTAATGATTATAATGTTATCATTTACTTATATTATATATTTTAGTTTGATTAATTTACATTAATTATTGTTTAAAACAAAGCAAAGGAAATAATTCTTATTAATATATTGATTTCCTAATTTTAGTCTAATTATCTTGCAGGAATTATTGTCTGAAACAAGGTAAAGGACAATAATTCTTATTAATAAATTTCCCTTTATTTTTAATCCAATTATTATGCAAAAATATTACCTAGAGGAAGGTAAAGAACAATAATTCTTGAATTTTATTATTATTTTTTCTTAAATTTAAAATTTAATTCAATTATTTTACTAGTTCATAAATGATAATAAATATAGAAAGATTAAAGCTCTGAACGGGTCAGTTTGGTCCAGATTATAGACGGTTCGGATTAGAGCCGAAATCCGTAAGAACTGAACTGCCGGTTTTTCGGTTCTAATACCTGAACCAAACCGAACCGAATTTTGAGCCGGTTTCGGATTGGTTCCCCGGTTTAGCCTGAACCATTCGGAGCTTTAAGAAAGATATTATTTAAGGTTACTAATTTTTTACTTTTTTTTATTTTGTTTTTGTGTTTTTTTGGTTTTTTAATAAAATGGAAGGGAAAAAACTCATAAAGTCATGATTTATGTAATTTTAATAATTTTTGATTATTGGTTTCTTTTAAAAATTATTATAATTAATCATATAAATGAATCAATTATAATTAAAAAAAGAAATAGAAAAGTAGATATAAATACATATATATCTATATTTTTTGGTTAGATATTAAAAATAAGAAAGTTATTAAAAAGTTATAAAGTATAAAAATTATATTTTTATTACTTTTAATATAAAAAGAATTTTAATGAAAAACTCTTTCCGGTACTGTTCACGTTCATTTTTCATATAAGAAATATTATGCTTTTTTCTCGTTAAATTACTAGAAAAATAGCTCTTCGGTATTAAGTCAAAAGTGTTCCTTGGTTCAACCAACACATTTTTTATTATCACTCTTTTCAGTTCAAACAAGTTCACAAGGGCTTAATAGTTCTTTAAAGACATAAAAGTTTTGTTTTCTTGCGAAATTTTTTCAAAAGAAGGCGTAAATATGGTGTACCAATCAGATAAAGGATGTCGAATAAAGAAATTTTTATCGGCTATACTTTTTTCTGTCCAGAAAAAGTGAAACGGTACACGGTGGCTGATACGATATATTCCACCAGAAAAGGAAAGTCTTATATCCTTTTGCATGTGGATTCATTACAGAAAGAGAAAGATATGTTGACAGTTGTCACCAATAATAGACATATAATAAAGAAATATGAAAGGCCTTTTTTGATAAATTCAGATCGGCCTTTGATGAATACTAAATACAGGATTTCAAAATACTTGACGAGTGTATTTTGTGGGTTACTTATTGACATAAAAACTAGAAACAAGTATTTTTTAAGAATACGCCAATTATTATTGGATAAACTTGTTGTTATTGAAAATAGATTGAAGAAACAAGGAAAGAACAGACAAACTACAACCTATATTAAATTTAGTCATAGTAGATGAACATGGTATTTAGGGTTCTATATCTCATGCTTTTTCTGTAGTAACGTCTGTGCTTATGTTATATCAAGAAATAGAAAAGTTTGTCAAAATTGTCATTTGAAGGTGATAGTAACTCCTACACCTCCACCACAAAATGTGTTTAAGGATTTTAGTCAAATTAAACAAGTAATAAGTAAACGCGTAGGCGTGTTTTATACAAAAAAAGTTTTGATGGATGGTGGAACACGTAAATATGCAGTTACATATTCAAATTTATGGGTAAACAAGCAATTTAAGACGTTGAAAGAACAAGAGAAGTATAAAAAGAAGTTTAAAAACAGCCTCAAGAGTAACAAGAATAAATGGCAGATTACAAATAATGGAATTGAATCAAAAGTACTCATTTCTAAACATAGGTTGAAACGTAGAAGTGATATCCTTAAGAAACATTATATATCAGAAAAAGAAATGGAGTTTCTGGTTGATCAAGTTACAAGTGAAAAAGGATGCAATTTGTTAAAAGATGATATTTTTATAAATCATTCTTTTAATGAAGAACATTTTTTTGAATTAAGAAAAAATAAAGAAGCTTCTTTTAAACGAAATGATAGTAAGGCAGTAGAACAGTCGAGTAGTGCTAGTCAAGGTACTTTGATAAACAATATTATTACGGACCTTCAGAAAATGGAAATTAGTGGACAGGATAATGTCGCTCCTTGCCAAGAAATACTCGGGAAGCAAGAACCTATTATAAGGGCAGAATTTCATCAGGAATTGAATAGTATTAGAGATAAACGTCTTTTACCGACATGTTGTAATGGTGTTAGAAGAGGAAGGCGTACACGTGGTGTTACTCATAACTACGTAGTCAATCAGTGTGCAATTAAAGCTCGTAAATTAGAGCAAGGTATGTTGTATTAAGTAGACATAAGTATATAATTAGTTATTCTTGTTTTATTTTTTCTATTTTCTTTTGTGGGATGACTAATTGTTTAGAATTAAATTATCAAAATAAAAAAATGAGTAATTATTTTGGATTTAAACATTCCCTATTTAATAATATTTACATAGGGCTATTTAGTTAGAAAGAAAAATATATAGAATTTTATTATAGTATTTACATCATTCCATATTTGATTATATTTACATATGGCAAATTATGTTTGAAAGAAAAATATGTAAACTTCTTTTAGTAGTTTTAACAAATTATTTAGAAAATTGTTTATTTCATCATTCTGTATTCGATAGTATGTACAGTCGGGTCCGAAAGTGACGCCCGATTTTGTACGGTGTTACGATACACAAAATTTACATTATTTATACCCCCTTTTTTTTATTTTTAAATGTTTTTCTCACAATTTCATAACCTAATAAACGCGTTGCAAAGTTAAAAAAATAATGTCACATAGAACTGAGTTAACTTCTCAAGATAAAGGAAAAATACTAGCATATATGGAGAATTTTAACCCTGCACAAATAGCAAGAAAAATGGGTCGTGACCCCACCACAATAAGAAGAATTATTGACAGATACAAGAAGACAGGGAAAACTGAAAATTTACCTAGATCGGGGCG